GATTTTATAAAAATATGAAGATTTGCAAGAAGATCTTACCGATTTATAGATATATATCAAAATAGAATTATAGAAAAATTAGCTGAATATATAGCAAAAAAATATAAATTACATCATTATCTTCCTTATTCTATATTTAATGATCAGAAAATAAATTATAATCAAGAAATCAATTATAATCAAGAAATTAATTATATTAATAGGCAAATCACGAGTCATCTAAACAAAATATTTTTTTTTATATATAAATTTTACTATAAGCCTGAATGTGAAGCACGCCTATCTAAAACTTTTTTTCTTACTAAGTAAATCACACTTGGGCTTGTAACAAACGTTGTAGAGCTCATCAAGAGGCATCTAATGGTAGTAAGAATGTCAAAATTGGCTTGCTGGTTCTTGAGAAATCTTTAAAAAACTTCTTTTTTACATATAAAATTTTTTAAAAAAAATCGATTTTTTTTAAAAAAATTTTATACGTAAAAAAGAAGTTTTTTAAAGATTTCTCAAGAACCACCAAGCCAATTTTGACATTCTTACTACTATTAGATACCTCTTGATGAGCTCTACAACTTTATTACAAGCCCAAGTGTGATTTACTCAGTAAGAAAAAAATTTTAGATAGGCACGCTCTACATTCAGGCTTATAGTAAAATTTATATATAAAAAAAATATTTTGTTTAGATGACTCACGATTTGCCTATTAAAGCAATTGATTTAGATCCAAAAATAATTGATATAGATAATGAAGAAATAATTAATATAGATAATCAAGAAATAGTTGATATAGAATTAGATAATAAAGAATAAATACCTGATTTTGTTTTTTTAAAAACTTCTGATACTATATATTGTAAAGTACTATAAATTTTTATAATTAATTAATACATTATTGCAATTATTTAATTTATTTTAAAATGTGTTACCATTAAATAAATAACAATAAATAATATTATTTAAATAAATTATATGAAAGCTAAATAAATATTAAGTTTTTTTCTTATTTATTTTTGCAATTTATAATGATTACTACTATTATAGTAAAGTAGATTTAACTAGAGATTAGTATAGTTTCTTGCTAAAACTACTAGTATATTAGACTTCAACTTCTAGTTAATAGCACTAATCAAGAAATAATATCTATTAAAATTTGATATAAACTTAAAAATAAAAATAAATACTTGTATTAAATAATGTCAGAGATGATGCTGAAATCAGATGATGCTGAAATTCACATGATTCACTGATGATCTTCCTAATAAAAAAATCTAAAGTGCTTATAGAACCCTAGCATCACCAACTAAAAAATTTTACTATTAATATTTGGGTTAGAGTTTGGGTATGACTATATTTTAATTGCCCTAGTAGAATTAGGTATAATATATGTAAAAAAAAAAAACTTTTAATACTCTAATCCTAACTCTAACACCAATGGCAATAGTAATGCTAGATGTTTATGCAGAAGATTATCATGTGATCATGTGAATTTCAGCATCATCTAATTACAGCATCATCCCTGACAAATAATAAAAATAAAAAAAATAAATAATGTTTAAGAATATTAAAAGTATAAAATCATACTACAAACATTTCTTATAAAAAATTGCATAAATAAATTTATTTTTTTAAAAAAATCAAAGGTCATCTGAAACATCTAGAAGTTCAATTTCTTTGCTAAATAAATTTATTTCAGATAATCTTTCAGTAATTTCATGCATGTTGATAAACTTGCTTCCAACTTTGAACATATTTTCATAATATGATTCTTCAATATTCTCAAGTACTGTTTTAGATTTATTTAGCTCTAACAAAATGCTTTCATCACTTTGCCATTTCTTAAAAATTTAACAAAGATCTTTTGCTAATGGACATTTCTCTGAATTTAATCCCAACCTTTTCTTATAAGGTTTATATAATATTGTGGTGCTTCTTTATTAACAACAGGTCTTAAATTATAACAATATACTAAAAAACAAAGCTATAGCATGGCAAGTTTTTGATTGTAAGATACTGGTTTTTTATCTAAAATTTCCCATATAATTATACCAAATAAATAAATATTAGATGCTTTAGTATAGTTAATTGTTTAAAAATTCAGAAAAAATATATGGTAAAATTCCACAAACTCAACCAGAATTTGATTTTTAGCAGTTATTAAAAGTTCTAAATCTGCAATATTTCTATTTTTCAAGTTATCTTGTAATATATTTCAACTATATAAATCTGATGTTGGATCTTTAAAGCCGATATCACAGTTGCTTTTAACTTATTATTATAATGAAAATATTTTAACTTATAAATAATAAATAATAAATTATATATTCTGCATAATTAATAAAAATATTAGATATAAAGATCACCTCTTTTATAAATTCTTCAAAACAATTATTTGAATTATGAAGTAATTTAAGTGCAATGTCTCTGACTACATTTTGGCTTTTATCAATCTAATTAGCACAATATATGGTTATAAATCCACCTTTACCTATCTCTTTAATATTCTTAAATTCATCATAAGAAATCCAAGATAGCTAATATTCATTTTCGTCAATAATTTTTCAAATCATCATCAATTTCAGAATTATACATCTATTTATTTGTAGCTAATAATTAATGTGGTGGCTTATGCTAAGATTGGCTTATGTTGAGATTGCTGAGATTTGGGGTCCTCATTTAAATCTCTTAACAGCTACTAAAATCCACATATACTTTTTTATTATAAATATTAACCCTAATTTCTAACCTAACTATAAAAAAAAGGACTACAAAAAAGACCCAAAAATTTTTGTAATTTTGATAATAAAATAATTAAATTCTCAGCATAAGCCAATCTCAGCATAAGCCGCCACAATTAATTATAAAGAAATAAATAATGATATAGTTTATAATAAATTATAATAAATTATAATACAACAATACCTAATGTTAATTCTTTCTCCCTAATCAGCAATTTAAATATAAGAATTTTATTAAATTAAATATAGATTATTGTATAAGCTATCATATAGTGGGTTAAAAATATCTGTATTATTATGTCGATTTTTTGTCCTCATATTATAACGGTATTATCATTTGCAGTTGCTACTATTGTATGCATTTGATTACATTAAATAATGTGCTCCAAACCAACGGTTATTTTCTTTAATCATTTTTTGCATAATTTTTTAGTATTATAAGTTATTGTTATCAATTATTTATGATATTATTTAAAAGAAAATGTCATACAGATATGAATGCATATATGAAAAGCAGTACATATAAATATGAACCAAATTTGTACAATAGTAGCAACATGGCGTACAATAATATATATTATTATGCGTCACATTCCTGAATAAATTAAACTTAAAGTTTATCTTTGATACCAGTATTTGGCCTTATCTAAATCTCATTATTCCAATTCTATTTTCGATAATATTCTGCTATTGCTGACATTCCAGCAGCATTACCATCTCTGCAGATTTTTTATAATAAATGAATGCCTTACGTTCATCCTTTTCAACTCCAGTTCCAATTTGATAACAATATCTAGCATTATATACTCCATCAGCATCCCCATCTCTGCTGATTTTTAATAGTAAATGAATGCCTTAAGTTTATCATTTTCAACTCTAATTTCTTTATCATAACAATATCCAACTTGAAATATTCCATTAGTATCATCCACCTCTGCAGATTTTTGAAAATAAATGAATGCCTTATATCATCGTTTTCAACTCCAATTCCATTTCAATAACAATATGCAACATTAAACATCCTTTAATATCCTCATCTCTGCTGATTTTTAATAATAAATGAATGCCTTATATTCATCCTTTTCAACTCCAATTCTATCAAGATAACAGTAACCAAAAGTAAATGTTCTCTTAGTATCCTTCATCTCTGCAGATTGTTGATAATAAATGAACATCTTATGTTCATCCTTTTCTATACTGATAACAATAACCAACATTATACATTCCTTTAGCATACCTTATCTCTGCAGATTTTTAAAAATAAATGAATGCCTTATATTATTTTTTTCAACTCCAATTCCATTTCGATAACAATATGCAACATTAAATATCTCTTTAACATCCCCTCTCTGCTAATTTTTAATAATAAATGAATGTTTTACATTCATCCTTTTCAACTCCAATTCTATCAAGATAACAGTAACCAAGAGTAAATGTTCTCTTAGTATCCTTCATCTCTGCAGATTGTTGATAATAAATAAACATCTTATATCTATCCTTTTCCATACTGATAACAATAACCAACATTATACGTTCCTTTAGCATACCTCATCTCTGCAGATTTTTGATAATAAATGAATGCCTTATATTCATCCTTTTCAACTTCAACTCCATAATGATAACAGTATCCAACACCAAATACTCCATTAACATCTCCTATTTCTGCAGATTTTTGATAATAAATAAATGCCTTACATTCATCCTTGTCAACTCCAATTCCATCTTTGTAACACTCTGCAACTTTGATATTCATCCCCCATCTCTGCAGATTTTTGATAAAAAATAAATACCTTATATTCATCCTTTTCAACTCCAATTTTTTTTATATAACAAACTCCAATATTGAATGCCTATTACGGTATTAAACTTTAATATATACTACAATGCATATTATAATATATGCTATTGCATTTCATGATATTTAACATCAAAGAGCAGAGGAGTATCGTAATGCATATTACCAGCTATTACTAATAAAATGGAATTGATATATATATATATTAATAAATAAATATTTATTTATTTCCATCTCATTCGTATCAATCCGGTCTTAGACATTATCTTACAATTAATCTAATTTAAATTCGATTTTAAATGTTTATTAATCTTTGAATCTGGATATATACATGGCCCTCGTTAATATCAACCTAAACTACAAGATAAATTTTTATACATCAAAATTCTCACATATATATTAACTTTACTATGATCAAGCACACAAGAGACATTAAACCACTTGTAATAATATAATATTAAAACTTAAATTATTCACTTAACCCTCGCTAATAACCCTAAACCATTTTGTTGAATTAATAATATTGGAATCAACAAGTCTTTATGCGTTGCAATGAGTTTTTGACCTGGAACAAGTAACTTTAAAAATAAATATATGGAGTTAAAACTTTATATATATACATAATATAAATAATTTAGTAACATGTATATATATGTACAAGAGTTACGAATTAATCAGCCAAAATTTTTTTGGAGTTACGAATTAAATATTAATTCTACCAACAAAATGCAGAAGTTAATGAGACCATTATAAATTTATTAATTCACAATTTTTATTGCTTTAAAATATACATTACAATGAAACAATTTTTTTTAAGAAAACAATATTGTAAAGTATCTTAATAAAAGAAACAAAAACTATAAGTTTAACAATATGTAATAAACCTTTTTTACGTCACTTTTCCATTTATATAACTCACTATTTTCAATTATTAAAGCTTCTTCCCTTAATCTTAAAGCTTTTTCCCTTAATCCAAGTGTTTATTTTCATCATTAAGTCGTGATATTGTAGTTTTATTTATAAAATTTTTTTGCAAGGTTTCTTCAGAAATAATTTTTCACTCTTTAATTTGTTCTTGTGAATTCATTAATTCCCTTTTAAGAGAATGCACAGATTTGCTTTTTGACTTTCAGGCCATCTAGTAATAATAAAAAAATATTAGAAAAGGCGTTTTCTATTTACAATATTAGAAAAAAAAAGGATAATAAAATTTTTATAAAATTAATGAAAGTTTTAAGTAAAATATCTGCCAGGGCGTGTATTAAATTAATAGTACATATTAATGATCAAAAATAGGAGTTACCAACACTTAGCTCCTTTCTAACAACCAAGAATACTCGCTCACTCAGACACAAAAGACCGGCTTCACCTAGTGAAGTTTGTCTGAGCGTTGATACCTTGACAGAGCTAAGCTTACGGTCAGAAAGTATACGTACTTTAATAAAATAAACTTTTATGAGAATAGGTTGGTCGCTTTGTTGCTTTTTTTTTTTAATCTTGAAGGTGAGGCAGTTTGCTTTGTTGTAAATTTGTTTTTTCCTCAAGTATTCATAACATGTGAATTTTTTGATTTCCTAATAAAGGAGATAGCTTTTTTGATACAGTAATAGTGAGGAGTTTATATTAGCATCAATAAAATAATTTATACAGCATGTAGATTATTTCCAACTTTATACCAAACGTACCTGACTTTAACTGACCCCCTAATGAAGGGGTCCAAGTGCGTGTACGCACTTATTTGTGCGAGTAATACAAACTCCTAGAAAGGAAATAGCCAATTTCGAATATGTGCGAAAGAAGAAAAAAGCAAAAATACTCAAAAACTAGTGTTTAAATTGACCTTGGTGCACTAATTAAAAATTTTAGAACTAAAATTTTATATATAATGAGCAACAATATATTGTTATAGCCTCTAATATTAATGTTCTAATCCTAAACTTCTATTTTTACGCACTTAGTTTATTTACAAAATTTGATTTCCTTTTTTGGTTTGTTACTCGCACAAATAAGTAAAATCCAGGTGCTGCATAAATTTTATATAAACCACCTTTTATAAATTCTTCAAGACAATTATTTGAAATTTAAGTGCAACGTTTCTGACTACATTTTGGCTGCTATTAATCCAATTAGCACAATATATGGTTGCAAATTCACCTTTATCTATATCTTTAATATTCTTAAATTCATCATAAGAAATCCAAGATAGCTGATATTCATTTTCGATCAATAATTTTTTCAAATTATCATTAATTTTAGAATTATACATCTATTCATTTGTAGCTAATAATTAATTATAAAGAAATAAATAACAATATTAGTTTATAATAAATTATAATAAATTATAATACAACAATATCTAACATTAATTCTTTCTCTCTAATCAGCAATTTAAATATAAGAATTTTATTAAATTAAATATAGATTATTATATAAGCTATCATATGGCAGGTTAAAAATATCTGTATAATCATGTCGATTTTTTGTCCTCATATTATAATGGTATTATCATTCACAGTTGCTACTATTGTATGCATTTGATTACATTAAATAATGTGCTCCAAACCAACAATTGTTTTCTTTAAACAGTTGTTTGTATGAAAAATTTTAGTGTTATCAGTTATTGTTATCAATTATTTATTGTATTATTTAAAAGAAAATGCTATACAGATATGAATGCATATATGAAAAGCAGTACATATAAATATGAACCAAATTTGGTACAATAGTAGCAACATGGTGTATGATAATATATATTATTATGCGTCACATCCCTGAATAAATTAAAATCAAAGTTTACCTTTGATACCAGTATTTGGCCTTATCTAAATCTCGTTATTCCAATTCTATTTTTGATAATATTCTGCTATTGCTGACATTCCAGCAGCATTACCAGCTCTGCAGATTTTTTGTAATAAATAAATGTCTTACGTTCATCCTTTTCAACTCCAGTTCTAGTTCAATAACAATATTCAGCATTATACACTACATCAGCATCCTCATCTCTGCTAATTTTTGATAATAAATGAATGCTTTAAGTTTATCTTTTCAACTCCAATTCCTTCATCATAACAATATCTGACGTGAAATATTTCATTAGTATTATTCATTTATGCAGGTTTTTGAAAATAAATGAATGCCTTAAAGTTTATCCTTTTCAACTCCAATTCCTTCATCATAACAATATTCACTTGAAATATTCCATTAGTATCATCTATCTCTGCAGGTTTTTGAAAATAAATGAATGCCTTATATTCATTTTTTTCAACTCCAATTCCATTTCGATAACAATATGCAACATTAAACATTTCTTTAACATTCCCATCTTTGCTGATTTTTAATAATAAATGAATGCCTTATATTTATCCTTTTTAACTCCAATTTCATCAAGATAACAGTTACCAAGAGTAAATGTTCTCTTAGTATTCTTTATCTTTGCAGATTGTTGATAATAAATGAATGCCTTATGTCCATTTTTTTCAACTCCAATTCCATACTAATAACAATAACTAATATTATATATTCCATTAATATAACTTATATCTCTGCAGATTTTTGATAATGAATTAATGCCTTACATTCATCCTTTTCAACTCCAATTTCATAATAATAACAGTATCCAATACCAAATACTTCATTAGCATCTCTGCAGATTTTTGATAATAAATAAATGCCTTATATTTATCCTTGTCAACTCCAATTCCATCTTTATAACACTCTGCAACTTTTAATATTCTACCAGCATCACCATCTCTGCAGAATTTTGATAATAAATGAATGCCTTATATTCGTCCTTTTCAATGCCAATTCCTTTTATATAACAAACTCCAACATTGAATGTTCCATTAGTACCATTAGTACCCCATCTCTGCAATTTTTTATAATAAATAAATGCCTTATATTCATCCTTTTCAACTCCAATTCTTTTTTCATAAAAATATCTAACATTGAATGTTTTCCAGTAAAGTAAACAAAATTAAATAGCAAATATTTATGAATTAAATAGCTTATTTTAATTACATGAATAAATGTTTCTTATATTCATCTAAAATAATGTGAATAAAATAAAATAAATATTCTTGAACGACTTGTTTAAAAATTTTCTTTATACATAGTCTAAATCATTGCAAATTAAATAAAATTAAGTAGCAAATTTTATTAAATAGCTTATTTAAATATATACTTAGTTAATAAATATTCTTTATACACACTTATTACAATAAATAAAAGTAAATAGTAATATTCAAGAATTTGAATAGATTATTAATTCCTTATAGTAGATTATAAATGTTTTTTTTGTATTCACTTACTACAGTAAAATAAATAAAATTAAAATAGTAAATATTTATATTAAATGGCTAATTTTAAATACTTAGATTAATAAATGTCTTTTATATCCACATCCTAAATTAATATATGAATAAAATGAAATTACTTGTAAATAATAAATATTCATAGCTTATTTTAATCAGATTAATAAATGTTCTTTATTCTTATCCTCTAAATTAATGTAAATAAACTAGAATTAGATAGCAAATATTCATGAACATGAATAGCTATTTAAAATACTTAAATTAATAAGCATTCTTATATGAGAGCTAATACATAATATGTGTAATTTGTATTTAAATATAATTAAAAAAATCCTAAACTTCAGGCTTTTGAATTTATAAAAAATTCAAAGCCTAAGTTTTGTTTACAAATATGCTGGTGAATATGGAAAACAATGCAAAATTGGTAGAATGGTCAAAGTTAAATACCAACCAGTTTAATCCAATTTTCTTACAAAAAACAAACTATTACTGCATATAATGAAAACAAAAACATTAATATAAGACAAAAATGCTTGTAAAATAATTATTATTATATCGAATCTTGCACCTTTTGTTTGTACTCTTATTGCTACCTCTCCAAGTATATCCTCAAATATGTAATATACAATTATTTTATAGAGTGAACACAGAAATTCTGGGTCAGAAGGCATCGGTCTAGACTACCATTTGGCAATAATCAGAAAAATTTTTTTAGTGCAAATCTGCAAAATCTGTAAAATGCAGATTTTTGAAGATTTGCACTAAAAATTTTGCAAAATTTTTAAAATTTGAAGTTTTTTGCAGAATTGTACTTAATTTTCTGTAGCTATAGCTGGCAGGTTTGAAATTTTGCACAAATCTTTATTTATTTTATTATTTATTTTTCTTGCAGTTTTGCACAAAACTGCACTAAAAAAAGTTTCCTGATGATAGGGGTTAGTATAGTCTACAAAAAATTATCAGCTAGGCATTTATTACTTAATAAATAGCTAAAAATATTTATAAAGCTAAATAACTTTATAGACACCAAAATTATCACTTTATTTCATCACCTAAACTGCTTATGCTTTTATTTCATTTAAATTATATACTTGATTGAATACTTTAAAAAAACAAGCTTTATAATCTTATAAACAGCATTTAGTATTTTATATTATCAAATATTTTTGAATAGTTCTAGTCAACAGCTGTTCGCAATTGCTTAACATATCTCATTGATGAATTGCAAATTTTTAACTTTAGATGTTCTAAAAGTTGCTTGTGATATGACTACTTTCAAGAAAGTATATGATAAAATGCATGCAAATCTAACCTGTATAAAATAAAAAAATAACGTTAATAGCAAGCAAAAGAAATAAAGAAAAAAAAGTTTATACATGCCAAGATACATCGGTATATGCAAAACTAAAGTTAGATTGGAACTTATTAATCAACACTCAATATGCACACTGAATTGTATTATGCACTACAACTGCCAAAATTATGTTTTAAATTTAATTACTAATGATATAAGCTTTATAATAACCAATTCAATTTTCAGAATAATATCTACGTATTTCAAAATCTTCATTTCTTGAATTACTTTGCCATGGTAAACCTTTAATATAGTGATGAAATTTTATAGCCGTCAACAGAAAATTTTGGTAAATGTTAAGTAATACAGTTGCTCTGATATTGAATGATAAGTCATTGTATATCAGATAACAGTTCCTGGTAATAATGCAATTTGAAGATATTTTAGATATATACTTAAAATAATAAAATAATAAATATATAA